CACCATGTCATGAATTACCTTAAAGGTTTACCTGTTTTTTTTGGGGGGGGGCATGAAATAACATTGTATTAGGGGCTAGTTATCTATGTGTAAAGATATTTTTTCCAAAAAGAAATTTTTTTATGCACTGAACCTCAAGGGGTTAAAGAAATCTCCTCGATATTTGCATTTGAACGAATATCTATAATTATATACATATCATTTTATTAAATAATACATATATTAACATAAAATAACATGAAAATATCACAAAAATATTATTTTGCAGAATGATGCAAAGACACATAGATTATCATTGGTAGACAGACTGAATCTATCTACTACAAATAGTGATGTTTTAACAATGTTACAATCATAATGAAATTGAAGGTAGTTCCACCTAGTGGCAGACTACACATACTGATGTCAGACTGCTGATATTACAAAACTGATTAACTTATTTTTTAAATCTAATTTGTTTATGCTTTTAACATGGTTACAAAATGCAACTGTAGAAAACTACAAATGGGTTGCAATATACTAAAAACACAGGATAAAGGCACAATATACTAAAAACAAAACTTACTAAACAATTAACAATATACTAAATGCTAGCTAAAAGTTCATGAAAATGGAAAAAAAAATTCATCTGCCAACTAGTTACATTTCTTTATTAACTTAGTCAGACACATATCTTTTCTACCTTAGGCTGTCATATTTAAATATTAGGCCCTTTTTTCCTCTAAAATTGTGAACACCATATTTACTGCTTACTAATTTTATCTAGTATGGGGGGGGTGGAAAGTAGAATTTTATGTGGATGATAGGTATATGGACATTATATTTGCCACAAACTTGATAAAGAGCTATATAAATTCAAAATACTGCATTTACTCAAATATAAGACGTTGTTTTTCTGCTACATTTTTGGTTCTAAAATTCGGTAAGTCTTATAACTAAATATCTTGAAAAATAAAATTGCAGAAAAGAAGAAGGGTTTTAATTAGCATATTACATAGAATAATTACACCATTAAAACTAAAAGAAATCATGCATGTAATGGCATAACTACAGCTAATTGTAGCAGCCATGTTTGGTTAAGCAATTTCAATTAAGCCTGTATCCACTACACAGGCCACTCATGTGCTTAAAAATAATTAGTTAATAAGATATCATTTAGTTACCTGTTTATTTTCAGGTTTTTTCTAGCTTTCTTTCTAATGGTAAAATATTGCATTTAACCAGGTAGTTTATTTTTTATTCTGATCACAATCAAATGAAAACTAATCAGAGCTATAACTCTCAACAAATATTCACCTACATTTTATTTCTTACAATTTATCTTAAAAAGTAAGCCTTACATTCGAGAAAATATGATATGCTTCAGCATACTTTCATGGAAATACTTTTGCCTAGAAAGAATCAATCAATAAAATGACCACGTATGAGTGATAATAAGATCGGTTACAGCATCCTTAGACTAGCCTAACCCCAGAGAATACAGCAAAAATATGCGAAACCACCACGAAAGATAAAAGCCAAAGATTCATAATGTCAAACTGTCTTATGGTTAAGTCACACAATTATACTGAATGAACTGAACATGAGAAGAATAGTCAACAAGTTTGTGTCACAAATTCATTTGATATGCAGCCCTTTTTTTGGCATTCAATAACATAATAGTTACCTTTTATTCTTCCTTTTCATGAAGTTTCTTTATCTATTTTTTTTAACACTGAAATAAAAATGAAGCTGAAAGAGAACAGATTTAGCTTTATAACTGAAACCCATAAAAAACTGCTTGTGATAACAAATGTTATTAAAAAGATGATTTTAGAAAGCTGAGAGCTGAGACGAATGCTCACATTGTATAGGAGATTTATTTAGCGGTGATTGAGGAGAAATAGGTGCAATTAATTTTAAAGAAATCTGCTTTATTTTTTAGTAATATCTTATATAAATTATCTGATATCAGCACCCTTTCAAGTGGCCAAGTTAAAGACTGCAGAATACTGTGAATTTGACCTGGGTTCAATCCCAGGCAAATTGGGCCAGTGGCATAGTTGGTTTTCTCCATGTAAAACATAAGAATACAACCCAGTTTCAAATAGAAAGTCCTGCCTATGAAGGCATCCCTCCCTTTAGGCATAGAGACCTCATTGACTTTGCCATATTCAAATAACTTAAAGTAATCTGATACCAGCAGACTATTCTCATAGTATCAGACAAATTCCAGCAGAAGCAATACTGAAAAATGCAGAAATATTGAACATTTTGAAATACTGAACATTTCAACTGGATGATGATTATGATCAGTAATATATCATTATAAAAATTTTTGTTTTTTAAAATAGTTACAAATGATAACATAAAATAATATTCTCAGTTAATATACGCTAGAATATAAATTATGCTATATAATATTTTACCAGAGGAGTGCAGCCTCTGTTATCTTGGCTCAATGCATCAACTTCTCTCCAAAGCACCAATGATGAGTTTTCTGTTCTCCAGTGCAAAAGTGTGCAAACCAGACGTGAGAAACCCAATGCAGCTGCCAAATGCAGCAGTGTAAGGTCAGAACATGTTGTGGTTTCTATGGGTTTCACATCATCTTGTTGTGTCCAGCTACCAGTCATGAATTTTTGACAAAGTGTTACAAGGCGATCTTCAAAAGACTTTTGCTCATCACTTACATTCTGAAATAAAAATGTCCAGTTTATGATAGTGCTTTTCAACACAACATTAAGAAATTTTTGAATGAAGGTTCTCATGCAAATTTGAATTTAAATAATTATTTTAAGTGTCACATTATATTATTTAATAGTATCAAATTACATTTAAGAACTTCATTTTTTGTTTATTATTAAAACAAGCATGTCAAAAGTTTTAAGAACTAGCTTAAAATAGTTGTTTAAATATATATACATATGGTGATGTTTTATTGCCATTAGACTCTATCAGAAGCTCATCAGAAAGGCCTAAGAATCACAGAACTTCAGCTAACAGTTAAAAAACCAACTTTATCTAACATTTAGAAAAGGAAATCACATCTCACATGAGGATAAATATTTAAACATTAACACACATGAGCTGATGCCAGACATCAACCACAAACAGGAAAAAAAAGGTGAGAAGTAAGCACTAAATCTCAGCTAAAAAAATTCAAGTTTTTATCCTTGCACTACAGCAAGCACATATGCATATTGTGCAGCAAAGATGAATGTTGCCACTTACTGCAATAAAGATGTCCGCCATAGCACTCCTCCCTTTATGTGCCAGAGGTACAAAGGGTCAGAGATACCTTGGGTTAAACTCGACCCTTCTGCCAGAATGAGTAGAATACACTAGTGGTTTTTGGGAGGTGGCACAAATATTTCAACCGTGGAACCAAACAGATTTACTGCACAACTCTGCACAGGAATGCTCAAGATGCTGGAGTGTTTGAAACTAAAAATGCCGGTTTCAGGCAATCAATGCCGATCACTGTTTCTTTTTCCTTAATGAGAAGTGTAAAACTTTTATTAAACCTCTTTATTAAATTAAATGGGCCATCATACAGACAAGTCAGTCGTGATTTTGGTATCTTATTACCTCACAAACACATGAGTGCATGAGCCTAAAGCTGGATGCATGAAATACTTATTGCTAACATGAGATAATGTAGGTGCTGGTGACATTTTTCTCATTGCCTCACACAATTTCTGTATAAATGAAATTGGGTCAACAGAATTAAAAACCTGGTGGACTCTCTGGGAAGGTGAACAGTAGTTCTGCAGATCATCTCCGAGCAGGTTCCACCCAGATCCTCCTTGTATGTTGATCAAAGATCGAGAAGCACAACTGGAAAACTTAGCATCTACTGGACGTCATTATGGCAAATCAAAGCTTATGTTGATAAAAACTCTAAACCTAGCAATCCAAAGGATGAAAAACATTTGAACAACAGTTTCTGCTGAAATATTTTTCACTGGTATTGTTCCAGCCATCAGGAGAATAGTCGATGAGAATTAAAAGGTAGGACTATCCTTCTGAGGGTGGCGGGGACCCAACTTTAAAGTGGGCTTAACCAACTTAAACTTTATGATCAACTTAAACTTAAAAAGCTATACACAGACAAAGAAAGTATACTCTCTGAAGAAAAGGAATGGGAAGTTCCCAGATATCCAGTTGCAATTCCAGTAATTTCTGAACCCATGGACGCTGCACAAAAAAATCGTTTTCAAAGTCTTGACAGCTTAACTAATGTAAAAATGAAGGAGGAGCTAATCTGATGCAAAAGCTCCCATCTATTGTGTTTTCACAATATTTGATTGGTTGAAAATAGATGAACTTTTTGAGAAATTTATTTGGAAGGACATGAAGCACAAATGAAATCAATATCGATTTTCATTCAGACAAAAAATTCAATGGACTTTAGAATTCTGACTAAAACTCTTAAAGAAAGAAACATTCCATTTCATTTGTATCAATTGCAAAGTGAAAAACCTTTCGAGAAGTTCTTAAAAACTTTCCAATGTCAGTAATGGAAGAAGCAGTTTTTCACGACTTGGAGCGAAGAAAATTTCCACCTTAAAAGTGAAGCAGTTTGTTAGGACATGAAGTTTTAACTTTGAGAAGCTATCTATTTTTTTTAAGAACTATGAAGAAATGCAGCCAGAAGGGCTATCCATAGCCTAAACAACATGTTAAATGTAAATGTAAAAATAGAAAAATTTCCACCAAAGAAACGTCCCAAGCAATATTACCTTTTCCAGGAGTATGGGCACTCCCAGCACTTCTGCAACAACCCTGAAAGATGCTGCAAATGTGGAAAACCACATAGAAGTAAGCTATGCTCCATGGAACCAGAAGAAAAACCTTCTTAAACACAGGAGTATTTTTTGCCAAGAAGGACATGTCAAAAGTTATCATGGCTGCAAAGCTGCTTAAGCTTATAAATTTAAGTTTGAGAAGAAGATACTCCACACTAAACCTGCAACTCCAGAAATGCAGAAGATTTTTCCGTGATGAATAAAAATTACAGAAATGACTGAAAGAAAGAAGTAAAAGAAATAGAAAATGCAGCAGAAACCACTACACAATGAAAAAGTTAATAGATTTAAATGATTTAAATGAAGCTATGTTGTGGCTGCAAAAAGGAAAAATCATGAAATTTCTAGGAAACATTACTTAACACATTGGTAAAATTAAAGAAGCTGAAACCCCAGCAGATAAACTTAAAGCAACTTTTCAAGCAGTGCTGATGTTAATGCAATTTCCTGAAAGTGAGAATTAGTCTCCCCCAGTCATAAAGGACTTCATTTTTGCACAACTCTGAAGCATGAATTCATAGCCCAGTGATATGGCACACAGCAGTTGACGAGCGAAGACAGAGATTGCAGGTTCAAGCCCCTATTTCATCATTCTGAATTTCTGTCTCTGCATGGACTTTTTATCACTTTTGCATAGTTTAGAGTGTTTTTACAAAATATGTATTAGAATGCTTGAAAAAAACCTTATAAAATAAGATGTGACTTATCCATATTCAAGCTAGAATTTATTTTTACAAGTTATTTAAGTGCGCAGAAAGAAATCCCAGCATTTCTAAATCAAAACTTACAGCAGCGTTTTACTGCGTACCTCAGAACATCAAGTCAAGAGAGTCATCGTACTCTGACGACACCTGTCTGCTTTCTTCTCTCCTCGAGATGCGTCACTACCTGTTCTCCTTTGTCTTGCTCCAAGGCACACATTTCAAGAAATATAGTCCGGTGAGATCACTACACATAGTATTTAAATGATTGATCCAGTCATGAACTTTTTCTCGCCTATGAGTGAATGGTGCAAGTACACCTTATATTTTTTAATTACCACAAGTGGTCTTACAGCATTATTTAAATTTATTAGTAAAAACTCATTTGTAGTTGAACCCAAACAAAGAAATGGTCTACTATCCAGGGGCCTGACTATATCCAAAACAAGCTCAAAACGAGTGTGCTCAAAATGTTGACTGGGTACAGTCTTTTGGTTGGTCTTAAACCTGGATATGAAAGTCCATTTAGTGTATCAAACACTGCTCTCTGGAGATGGCTGGGAATAAAGGGACGTATCTTATAACCACTTAACATCACAACACATGTTTAGCCCAGGAGACGATTCCACCTTTTGTTGTTATATGATATGTTGGAATGATACACTTATGACAAAAATTACTGGCGTATAGCATTTGCAGAGAGGACTACTGTAAAGGATCAATGATAACACAGAGAGAGGAGATGAAAAAAAAAAACTTTTCTTGGAATTATGAGTTTTCAATGTGTCCATCTTTTGATGTTAATGCATTGCATGTGGGATATTATTGTCAACAATGATGAATGTAACATTACAGGAGGAATCTGTATGACTTTATGTTTCATGGCCTCTTTCAATTCTGATAAACCTCACGGATTTTATATGTACACCTTAGATTTCAGATAACCCCAGAACCACAAATTTATCGGAGTGAGTTTATGGGATCATGAAATTGCAAACGTTACAGTATATCTTGAAACACTGTACACACTGAAGACTTGTAATTCCAATAAAAGTTTTTCCTTCCCCTCTTTTGTGTTGTCACTGATCCTATATAATACTTCTTTGCAGATGTTCTACTCTGACAGTTTTCACTACATGTGCATCATTCCAACACCATTTATGGCATTTCAGTGTGCTGCTATATTTCCACCAGAAAAAAGTTTGTGTTGCCATTTGAAAATATTGAAATGTTTTCACTGTAACTGTGAGAGCTCTATTGTTGAAAATCATCACAGTCTTGAGTGCATTCCTTCAGATATAATGTATTAAATTTCATTTTGACTAGTTGAGAAGACAGGCCACTAGGGGTCATCTATATGAGAAATTCTTTGCTATACATACATACAGATTCTTCATTATTTAATAACAGAGATCATAATTAAAAAAATCCTTTACATAGATTTGAGGGAAGGGAGGAAAATTAGAATGTCTTATAATGAAACACATAATTACTCTAAAAGCAATAAAAAAGTGTAGAGTTGTCTTAGGCTTTTAATTCAACAAACTATTGTTTGATGACTTTTAATTTCAGTTATTTATCACATGAAGGGACCATCTTCGGTCATATTTTGTCATTCACAAATTAGCTGAAATTATTAACATAAGCATTTTAATCAGGTTAAAATAGTAAATAAACAACTTAAGCAAAAAATATTAGTAGCTTCAACAGTTTTAAATAAATTAAAAATTCCTGAAGCATTTCGCAGGGGGCTACTCAGTCACCAAATCACTTTCTTAAGATCTCAAGTTAACAGGATGCACTGTCTTGTTGAGATGGCAGTTTGTGCTGCTAAAGCTAACTCTGGAAAGAAAGTTGCATAAATTAAATTTGTGGTCCAGTTCTTCCAAATTGTGGCATATTATGAAAGAAACACTCAGGTACTCATCAGAATTAATTTGGAAACTTTATCATTATATTTTCTTTGCCATTTTGAAGTATAAAGAATGTTTTGCTAAATGATACATAAAATATTTGCCTGAATGCTAGGCAAACTCTAAGAGGAATGAATAAAATATCTAAAATAAAAGTTTCCAATATTCCCATATCAGAAAAAATAAAGAAAAAGCATTCAGAACCATCGAGATTATCCCTATGTGTTTATGTCAATTGATGCAATTAATAGCCAGATCAGTTTATTTACATTACTCAGCCCACAATTTCCACTTTGATTCCAAAACAAAACAAAATGCCAAAAATAAAATACTGGGAGACAATGAAGGTCAATATTCTCCAGTCTTGATAAATTCCACCATAACAGACATAAGACCATATCCAGTGGGAAAAAAAAAAAAAAAAAAAAAAAAAAAAAAATAATAATAATAATTAAATGTCCCATTTAAAAATTCATATGCAGTATACCTGTACTAAGAGCCAACTTAAATGGTATTTTATATATGACACACCCATCTGTGAGATATGAAAGGATGTGATAAGGATACAAAAGGATTAAATTATTACACAAAAAATTATTACATAAATCTTCATGCCTCACAATTATTGCTTCACAATATATGATGGATGGCAGCTCCTTTGAAGAATTAATAACATTAAATTTACATGTATATGTATTAACACATAATACAAATATTTTCCTTCCACCTTCACTGTACACAAACAGGAAGCAGATTCATCTTTGAGTAATTATTTATAAATTAAAATCTTAGATAGCACTGACTGTGTGAAAAAAGTTGAATATTCTGCTGATGGTTATCTCTCTAAACACTCATAACAAAAAATTCTTTAGAACAGAAATCAGCATATGAAAATTAAAAAATAAGAAATGTCTGCAAAAAAAATTGTTTTTTTTTTTTTTTTTTTTTTTTTTTTTTTTTTTTTTTTTTTCCTAGACATTTCTTATTTTTAATTGGAGAGAACTGCACCAAAAAAATTTCTCAGTGTACACAGTTTAAAACATATAAATTTACATTTATATGTATTAAATATATACTACATATATTTTTAACTCCCTCCCTCACAGCAGCATTGTGAATGCTTTTTTTTTTTTTTTTTTTTTTTTTTTTTTTTTTTTTTTTTTTTTTTTTTTTTTTTTTTTTTTTTTTTTGTAAGGAGTGAAAATAATAAGAAATAACCAAAACTTTTCTTGTTTTTCAAAAATCACTTATGCCATATAATAAATACAGTCTTCAGAGTAATTACAAGAGCATATTAATGTTCAGAAATACAAATATCTTACTTGTACAACACTGTTTGTAGTTAATCCTGCAGCAGAATTATCTAGGCTAAATGACAATTTCGTTTCCATTTTTTCTAGCCTTTCCAAGACAGAAAGTTTAAGTGTACTATCTGTAAAAAAATGAAGTTCTCAGTCACTAATGAACAAAAAGAAAATAATTTTCTTCAAACAGTACTACAAAATAACTGCATTACTTTTTATTTTAATGGTGAACAATAATTAAATTTATAAGTAGCATGAGATGGTATTAGTCTCAAATCTCACTTCTATGTTCACATCACTTTTCATATGTTGCCACCAAATATTATCAGCATGTATTATTTTTAAAGAAATAATATAGCAAATATATTAAAAAGTAGGCAACACAAATAAAAGGATATTGCCACCAAATGTTATCATCATGTATTACTTTTAAAGAAATAATATAGCGAATATAAAAAAGTGTATGGCAATATTTACTTTATTGGAAATTCTTAAGATAATTGTCATAAAATATTTCTAACTTCCATGCACCAGTTTGTTGCCATTTGGCAAAGCATAAGATATTTTTCTTTTAAATTTAATAAAAATTTAATCGGTATATTATTGATTTACAAACTAAGTGATTTAAAAGCAATAAATGCAGTTCGTTATCTCTTTTATTAACGGCAAGTTGGACCTGTGAATTTACACTAGCCAGACTTATTATTGAAAACATTATATATATAATTTGTTTTCATGGTAACTATTTTAAGCAGCTAGCCAAACCAGTGGCTACATAGTGAAATTGATACCCAAAATGATTCAATACAAAGTGAGGTTCCAGAATAATGCCTTTTAAGGCTAAAAATGAATGGCAACATTTAACACTGTACCTGGAATTCTAACAATATGCTATTTAAAAAGGAATTGTGGTTTTGCTTTTGAATTTTATGTGGTGTAAATGCAAAGAAAGTTAAGTTTAATAATAGTTAAAAAAGATATAAAAAAGTTGTGTTCAAAGCAGTGCATCCAACAGCAGATACATACACTGCAAGCTCAATGAGAGAATAGCTTCAACAAAACTTCTGGTTCTGCATTAAAATATGAATTGTTTCAGATTTTTTTCATCCTTTTTTTTAATTATTTATTACTTATTGTTGCATTAATATTTTCACACATTACTATTTACTAAACCATGAATTATTCTGCCCATCAGTTAAAACTTTTCCTCGAATATATTGAAAAAACAAACAGCCACTTCAACGAATAACTATAGTTTGAAAGAAAATGCAACATAATGAATGTTAAAAAGATGTCAAAACATCGTAAGTCTGAGGGGAACATACTATTTAATCCACTAACACTGCTTCACAAGCGAGAGTTATAACTGAATTTTCAATAGACAAGTAAGACCAATAACAAAACTGATATTTTTATAAGCTAGACAGGCATGACTTCTTTAAAGTTAAGAAACACAGATACACGGTCTAGATTCAATACACTTTTCCTAACTTAAATTTCAAATTCTGCATAATTTTCACATGTTTTACCATAACTGCACAATATTGTTAACATACTTGATGCTGTAATTACATGCCATGTCATTTGAGGTAAATTAAGCTATGAATTAGCAAAAGTCAAAAGCACAGTTAAATACTAGGCATTTATATCATGCCACAAAGGGGGAATAAAAACTGTCCCCCCAAAAAAAACATAAAATTTATAGTGCGCACACACACACACACAAAAAAAAAAAAAGTAGAAAACTTTAATCAATAAAGGGGAAAGAAAAAGCACATAAGCAAGATATTCAAGGAGAACTGAAAGAACGCAAATAAAGGTAGAAGTATGATTAAGTACAAAATCCTTTCCAAAACTCCATGGGAACTGAAGCAATGTAAACACTGGGAAAACCCTTAAAAAAAAAAAAAAAAGAACACCTAGTGAGTAAATCTCATACGAATGTAATGAAGAAATGAAAGAAGCAAATGTGAAAACATCTAAAAGAGGTTTGCATACATTTTACTACATTTTAATACTTGTAATGAAGTACACGATAAGGCAAAACTTCAACTAACTCGAACAAACTAAGCAATAATACTGTCTTTTCCTACAATAGTGTGACCTTCCTCATATACACTTTCAAAGATCCTATTTGACTGCTTTGCATATCATACTGTTACGAAATGTACAGATGCGGTGCGATGGCTTCCCCACAAAGCAGTTTTAGGGTTGCCATAAAATGGCAAAAGAAGGTAGAGTTGCCATATTTGGCGAGAGATTGCCCATTTGCTGACGAAATTGGCGATATACCATGGACGGTTGGAGAACCTTCTGGAACGAATTCTTACCGGTTTAGCGCAGAATGTTCCCGAACACAAGCCAAAAGCTACATAAGACCTGCTGGTCTGCAGTCAGAGTGTGTGCTTCATCGAGAGGAAGTGTGCATCTCTTATCGAGTGAGTGTGTCTCGTCTAGCGAGTCAATCCCTGCGGAGGCGATCGAGTTGACAGCCGGGCAACGAGTGCCGAGTGGGTCGTCGAGTGCACTGAAAGAGTCTCGCGGTTAGTGCATCATCGAGAAAGCGTGTTGAGCTCCGGAAACGACTGAACCGAGAGTCAGGAGCTGTGCTCTGTGTGTCATCAAATGCATCGCAAGTTGTAGCGCGGATAGTCTCGAGAGTACATGGAGTTCTGAGAACGACCAAGCAGAGTCGGGAGCTGTACTCTGGAAAGCAGAGTCGGCTGCTTTGCAGGAAGCTGTCTACACCGTGATAGCCTGATAACCCGAATGCTATGTCGCTGATCGTGTCAGCGTATTTATAGTAGTTCATCGACGACTGTAAAATGTGTTTTGGAGCTTTCCTGACAATACTGGCTAATAAAGTGTGTTTCGATACTTCATCAAGTGTCGTCGTTATTCACTCCAAATCTACGAGCCCCGTATGAACATAAAGGAAGAAAATAACGTAACAACTTTTGTCAGAAGAATTAGAAAAGAAAAATGTAACAATACAAAACTTCAGACCTGTTACTTGTGTAGACAAGTAACAGATCTGATATGAAACATTGATATTGTTGCCAACTAAAACTGTGCATTTAATATATTTAAAAATAAATTTGCAGGAAGAATATATTGACTCGCAGCAAATACTGACAGCAACTTGCTTTTGTTGTGTGATTCAAAGCCCTCTACATATGTGATCAGGCATTTCTATATATGAAAAACTGTACATATGTGATCAGGGCTCATTAAAGGGATTTTGAGGACCTTCTGTAAAGGTTTTCTTTTTAGTTCCTTACATGGTTCGCCTTTCAAATTGTGTTATAACTCTCGCTTGTGAAACAGTGTTAGTGCATTAAATGATATGTTCCGCTCAGACTTGCAATATTATGAAATCTCTTTAACATTCATTATTATGCATTTTCTTTCAAACTACTATATTATATGTATTTTATCTTATTAGCAACATCAGATATACTAATATCTTCAAAACTTCCCGTTTTGGATTTTTAAAGCATCTACAAGTTTCTTAGAATTGGTATTCAGTTGTTATGCTCAACTGATTAAGGCAAAATGCAAGAGGGCCATTTAATTGTCTTGGTATCTTCATAGAGGACTTCCTAAGACACACTTGTTCATATTTACATCACGTATACGAAAATTTTGAAAACACTATCCCCTCTCATTAGAAACCAAACCCAAGTCAAAATATCAATGTTTGGCAGGCTAGTAATATTTAGACCTTCTTTATTTCTTGTTGCATTCTCAGAGTCATAAAAAGCACTGAATACATCAAAGCAATGACTGAATTACACACAGCTTTCTCTCAAAAATACCTCAGCATCGTCTATTACAACACTGAAGAAGTTTATTTGTAGAATTCCTATATTCTTAAGGAACCTACTTTTTAACTGTTCTACATCAGTAACACCCACTAAAGATATAATCAGTTCTCCTGATTTTTTCTGTTTTAAAATCATGGCTTTAGGATTCTTCAATAATATCTAACGTTAGGTTGCACTACAGAACTCATATTCAACTGCATATCTTAATATTATTATTAAGTTTATTGACTTGACTATTATACCACAGCATAAAGCAAAAAGAAATCTTAAAAGCTGTGATCTCTATTAGTAGATAAATTCTCACTGAAATAGATAGGCATGTCATATATTCTTAAATTCAAACCTAACTTATGCGGATCATCCGTATATGCTTTTTTAAATATGAGAGCAGTACATTTTTAACAATTCACAGCCATCTCATCACTTTGATAACATAACCTTTTTATACTACATGCATGTTTACTTGTCAGTAATAAATTATTCCTCATAACCAGTAACAATGTATCAGAAATCTAAACTAGCTTTAATTGTTTCCTCTTTTTTCCCCCTCTAAACAAAATTTCCCTGTTTTGTTGCAAGAAAAGCATGTGACTACCTGCTGAAACCGTGGTTATCATTTACAACAGATCACATGTTCAACATTTAACATACATTTCTTTAACTAAGGAAGACAATATTTTCAATGCAGAAGTAAATCTCACATACGATTTCTAGTCCAAGAAAAGTGAAATATTTGTTATTAGTAATGCCAAAAAATGTTAAAACTTGTTAACAATTTCAAACAACAACAACAACAAAAAATTAATAAGGCTAAGATTTTTAAGGTAGTTAGAATTTCTGTGAAAGCAGCATAGAATATATCAATGAATAGAAATATAGTTTATGAAATCATGAGAAGTTCATTCAAGTAGGCTCTATATAGGAAGAAAAATTAATAAAAAAGTACACAACATAATAGACTCGGGAACTCATCACATCCATTGAAATAGAAGAAACTGTTGTGTTTTACCATACCAATTTGCTTGCATCTACAATTTCCGGCACTTTTATGTATGGAATAAAAAGAACTTTCCTGTTTGGAATAACTAAGTACACATACTTTTTCTCAAGCACACAAAATGCTGCAGGACTTTTGTAACACTACAGAATTTATTCATTTATCTTTCATGCAGCATTGTATCTATTGCAAGAATATTTTCTATTATGAAGAACATGTTGTTAACTCATGCCTGTGGATTATATTTCAGAAAAATGTTTCAAAAATGGAAAATTAATTTGCTCTTTCACTCTCGATAAGTGCCTTTACAGCTAAATCTCATTCAGCTTTCAAATAAATGTGGAACAAGTATCACTATCTATAGATAAAACAGCAAATCACATTGCATTAAGCATTTAATAAATGAAAAGGAATTCCTTTCAGGTTTCATGGAATAAAAAGAGTGATTTTTTTCCAGCATAATGCACAAGTTCTGAAATATGGAAATGTGTAAAGGAAGATGATTACTGAGAGGGTTTCAATCATACGATTGTGAGATTGTTAATGGCTAAATAAAAGCTCTGTGCCCAATTCTCACTCAGAGCCATAATAATAACTAAAGAAGTTGAAATAACAGCAGTACACAGTATCCTCTGTTTCTCAGTATATTAATCAATTATGCTTCACCTTCTCATTATTTTAAAGCCAATAAAAGCTGTGGTAAACATTGAAACAACATTTTATTTCCTTGCACATGGGGAACACAGAGTTCTAATTAAAAATACTGCATCATCTAAAAAGATCCGTGGTTTTTCAAATCGAAGCATGTTTTTACCCCCTTAATTATTTTGTTAATGCAGATAAACAGTAACTTTGAATTCTAGCAGGTATTATGGAAAAAAAAAAATATCAGTGCACTGCTAAGACTTAAGAATGTAAATTCATTGTCGTTATATTATGCTCTTTTATTTAAAAAAAATAAAAAAAATGCTAGTCCAAATGCTTGTAAAACTTGTGCTACATACGGGCAATTTCAGATTAACAAAATCTGAAGAGAGTTTGAGAGGTTTACAAGTAGAAATTTCAGCTTTTAAGATAATACCCACTCTGAATGACCATGCTCTGTAAACAATGTCAATTAAAAGATGCTATATCAGAACATTGACATTATACTGTTCAAGTAACCAATCAATGAGGTGTTGTTTTCCATGATGATAATGCCTGGCATCCCATTTTAATTATGACAGCAAAGACATATTGAGTATGGCTGGTACATTTACTGTCACTCTTCATCTTCAATAGACCTTGCATCATGACAGGACTTCAGATAGCACCTCTGTAAATACATCTCATGACTTTTTTTTTTTTTTTTTTTTTCAGAAAAAGGGACTTTTTCAGATGCTGGAGACATGGCAAAAGTCATGGAACAAAATATTGCTTATTATGTGATTCAAAGAAAATTCCTTATGTTTTTTCACACGCTCTTCACACAAAATTACGCTCTTCTGATTCTAAAGAGTCTTCTGTTTGCTGAAGTCAAAATGTAGTTGAATTATTAGTTTTGTTATACACCGTAGAATATAAAGTTATTTCTATTGTTTCATTTTTTGTCTTCATGTTCACATTTACACTTAAAAAAATTTTTCCTCCCCTATAACTTGTATGGTATTCAGAAAACATTCAGGTAGACAAAAGAGAGTTGCACCTACCTCCTTTTGTTATTACAGTGACAGGATTATCAGTTAAATACATAGAGATATGCAATGTGTTTTGAGATTTCTTTCATAATATGATTGATGTATTGCAGTTACTGAAATAGAACTACAGTACATTAAAGGTTTTAAACATACACTGAATTTCATTACATGTTAGTAAAAAAGTAGTTTTAGAGGAAATGCTAAAGCTTGTTTCTATTAACAATTAAGCATGATGGGACTTCTTTTAAGTCCAAGAGCCCCTGCAACTGCAGGTGTTGTAGGGCTATTGCAGGGCTTCTAAACGAACTCTGTGTGTGAAAAAGCAACCCTGAAAGTGTACAGCAAATAAGTATTGCCAGAATAGGACCCGCAAGTGTCAGAAATAGGTCAATAAGACTACATATTGAATCAAAAGTAAAAATTCATTGCATGCTTATTGCATTGTAACCTTGCAGGTTAAGTGCCCTAAAATTTCCCATTACCTCCACAAAAGCTACGTTTTGGAGACAGATAAAAAAATTACAATGGATATTCACTTTGGATAGTAAGATCTTGACAACTGATGTTTTCTGACAAGTGACAGGTGAATATAATTAGTTATTAACATGTGTTCGGATTCTCTTTGAATGCAATTCTTCCAGGATTTATTTTCTATAAGGTTTCCTTTTGTTTCATTTTAGTTTTTACATTGCTTTATTTCTTCTAAGACTTCGCCTTCAAGTTTACTTCATGCTTTACATATTACTCTTTACTTTTATTATTCTTCCTAGAATACTCTGAGATTTTTTCTAAAGTCCTTTGGGCTTCTCTTTTTTAATTCATAAAAATTAAATACCATTTTTATCAATCTTCTCTCTACATAAAGGCAAATAAAACGCACATGAAAGCTTAAAAACTCTCTTGCTACAGTCCATTATCATACGTGTTCTCATAATTTTCCTTGATATATTGCCTTTTAAGATTCATAATTAAATGCATACCAATTTTTATTTGACATTTTTATCATTATCCATTATTTAGTTTTTAACTCTTGTTCCCATCTTCTCCTACAAGGAATAGACTATACTGATAATGAAGAAGAAAATGTTCTAATTAGTTTCGCTGTGCTGTTTAATCTGCAACTTTAGAGTTCCATTTTTCTCTTTTCACTACAAACTTTTCATCACATTCACAGTATCACATTCAGAATTTGAGTTTTAAAGTCTGATGTGAGATTTCTTTTAAACAGCTATAGGAGAAAAAAAGAAAATGCACAAATATTCTCCTCCCTAGCTTTTTACCTAAAAATTGTCTAATTTTTCATTGCATAAGCATATAAAGATCGTTTTTCTGCATCCATACAGATTAGGAAAAGGACTGCAGCATACCAAAATACAGTTAATGGTTTTACAGGTATAGTCCCCATGGCATTAACGGTGCAGCTCCATTCCAATTTTGATGAATACTCAAAGTAATGGATCCAAGGATTTCCCACGACTCTTCCTCTACATCCAAAACTCTCCAGATGATTTATGACTTGCAGCTCATCAGTATTTAACTGTTCCTGTGCTACACAGACATAATAAGCTTACAAACATTCAAGCCTTTTACAGGACATAATACGCTTATAAATATCCAAACCTTTTACAGGATTCAAACCAAGTCCTAACAATATGGATGCTAGCTTTGCTGTTCACTATAATAGTTGGGGCAGCTCTCGTTCCATACAATTACTCACAGAATTAGAAAAATTTCTTAAGATATTTGCTGGAAATCACAGATTAAAAAACACCGAATAAGACAATTTTTGTTAAAAGAACTTAAGTTACAAATAACAGCAATTTAAATTCAAATTCAAAAAACAACACAAAAGAAGTGATGAGCTTTTTCTCCATTTTATTTCACACATAAGGAACTATTGCCGAGGGTAAAGCAATTTAAAAATTATATACTTCTTTTTGTCTACAAAAATTAATCAGATTATATACATGACGCTTTGAAAATTCATAATAAATATACATACAAAATAGATAAAAGTATAAAAGAAGAAATACCTTCAACAAAAAACCAATCTTCTGATTTTATATTAGTAGCAGATTGTCTTCGTCTGTATTCAAAAGATACTGAGTTTGATATGACAAATCCTTCACAGGCAACTTGAAGAGACACCATTCCTGGTTCATGAACTGAAATAAATTAAATTAGATGAACTGCCAAGAATAACATGAGACATGTACGACATTGCAAAATTATAGATTTAAAAATTACAACTTACGAGGGCTATAACACCTAAGAACTCCACTTTGAACTAAAGTAGTTGGCACACTAATTCCATCAAATAATATACTGTAAGGAGATGAGGATGAATACCAAGGTCCTGTGACAAGAACCTTAACACCACCCTGTAAAAAAAAAACATTTCAAAATTCAGAGAGCATTTTCGTTAATAAGACTTTTTTTAATTACTTGCATCATAACATTCAGTAACAATAAAATAAAGTTTAATTGTTACATAACTGCAGCAGATAACATATATCTTTCATTAATAAAAAGATTAAAATAGTATGCAAATTTCTACAGTTAGTTAGTCCTGTGTTAACTACACCATATAAGGCCTAGCAAACTCATCATGAAACATTTTATTGTAAATTAACAGACCTACACATTTTTTATAAGTTGATGTGATATTCTCTGAAGTAGCAACACTATATCACAGTACGAGGTAGCAGATGTATTAATTCCTCTGTAAATGGATTAGTAGCAGAAGATAAATAAATAAATAAGTAAAAATATATAAAAAAATCCCATCTCACTGCTTTTGTAATGTATATTTCTCCAACATGGCAGCCAACTTCACACTGTCCAGATAAACTCAGGAATCAGAGACATTCACTGAATCAATACAGAGTATGATAGATAGCCTCACTATCTGATGATGCTTTTTGAAATTATTCATGGTTATTTCTGGCCATCTCAAAGCAGTCTATACCATATTTAGTGACTTTCCATTGTAAAAGACTACATTTCCAGAATATTAACCTTTCACAATATACATCATCATAAAAGTACAACAGTTTTTTTTTCAATTTAAACCTCAATGTCAGTCAGAGAGCAGAATGTGTTCACCACCACTATTCCTTTCTTTCATTGAAACCTTATCAACAATTTCTACAGTTTAATCAGTATTTCACTTTGTTTCATAGTGTGTTAACTCAATATAACATGTTAATGCCCTTTACACATGAAGGAGTCTTCAATTCCCAAAACGAATGCATGTGTGTCGAAAGAACTCGTAAGTTATGCAATTACATATTGATTTATATTTAAATGAAATTTAATATATTTATATGAAATATGATTTAAATAAAATACTTGTATTTAAATCTTGTTTTATTAATAAAAAAATTCTTGACAAATTAATTTTTATTATTACCATCAAACAACACATAAAAACTGCTTTGCTATTAATGTGTATGTTGACACCACAGTTTATTGCTTAGTTTGCCCATCTCTGTTACCACACTGACTGGAAGCATCAGACTTTTTAGAAGAAGGAGGTCAGGTGTGGAGATACTCAGAAAATACCAATAATAGTAACGAAAGTAAAATGTATTCTGAAAGGCCATATACTTTATCAAATGATCAGATATCTTTTGAATACTAATAAAAAAATTTCATATACACAAAAACATAAAGTAGAGAAGCATTTTTAACACTACACTCACAATAAATTTTCAGTCAATTTTTACTAATTCATGCTCCATGTAGATAGATGCACAAAGATTAATTCTTATTTATTGTATGGCAAAAAAGGATATTTTAAGAAACACGGATACAAATTTATGTGCACATTTGTAAATTAATAGATCAGTTTTAGCTCTTAAATTCAGAATTTTGTAAATTGAAAACTTTGACATTCATTTACTAAGGAATAGTTGAATGATTGCTTATAGCAGACTAAATTACATTGTTTCATGAACAGCTATGGCTTGCAATGAAAAATCAAAATCATGCTTGAAGAATTTATTTCTAAATATTATTCTTGTACGAAAAATCCAACAAAAGAGATTAAGCCATTTTGTTAGAGGTATAAATGTGAAAATTTATGAAATATGATAGATTATCATTCTTTAAACCAACGAAATTAAAGGCAAATACACAGATGCACAATCATATTCAAAGTAAGCATTACACATTTAATTGCAAGTACAACGTATTTTATGTACAACATATTTTATTTATGCTTTCCTTTTCTACTTCTTTCTTAAAAAATCAGGAAATAATATATGAAAATACAGAAATAATCTGAAAAAAAAAAAAATTATATTTTGTTTTGTGCCACATTGATAGACGCAGAGGAATTCTATTTACCCAAAACTGGGGTGGAGCCATTTTGGATGATACCTTTTTTTTTCTCCAGATAACCAATTCAGATATGCTAGTACACAAAATTAATAAAACAAAAAATTAACATTTAAAAAAACACAAGACCAAAAATGGAAAGTATGTGGTTAAATCATAATGCAATAGCATTGACATTAAAATATATTTATATCTATACATATAGGTGATTATGCAACACTAGTAGATATAAAAAGTGCCTGTTTGTCATACCATTCTTATTTATTCATGCACATCAGCAATAATCTTAGTGTTTGCACCAAAATTTCATTAAATTTCATGAACAGTGTGGTACTATCAATAATCACCAACATATACAGTCAAAAGTCTTTAATCCAGACGTCCATAATCCAGAATGATCTATAATCCGGACCTCAAAGCTACAAACTTTCTGCGCATTACGCATAATGCCCATAATGCGCATGTTTACGCATAATGCACATAATACCTTTACGCATGCGTGTTTAATGAATAACAGACGGTATAAGCTAAGCTAAAATTATCTAATTATCTATTTCAGTTAATGATGCAGATTGTGTTGTTCCTTAATCTTCTAATTGGATCCGGCTTATTAATTTTTGCAGACTGTTAGAGCAATTTTATAAAAAGTAAGCTTGAACTTTCGATTATGTCAAAAAGAATTTCTGATTCTGGAGTTGCCAAAGGATCTACAAAGCGAAAGCATGTTTCAATGTCCATCCAACAAAAAGTAGAATTGCTGCAAAAAATGGATAAAGACATATCCTTTGTTTCTCTAACCATTCCAAAATCTGTCTATCAATTTCAACGTTGCTCTGCGGGGGGGGGGGGGGAATCGCGGCGCGCAATGAAAACTGGAAGTTGATCTGTCAGCACTATCCTTATCTTCAGGGCAGATGTTTTTTTTTTTATTTCGGCTTACATTCAATCCTTACTAAATGTAGTATTTCATCTCGATGTACTTGTCTTTGATATGATTTAAATCAAATTCCTCGTCATTATAAATATCACGAATACTCATCAAATAGTTTTCTGGCTGCAATTTTCTAATTTCGACTACGCGTAATGTACGCTTTACGAATGCGAGCATTGAAAGAAATGTTTAATAAAGTAAACAAATAAATATTAAGTTTTTTTTTTTTTTGTAAATTTTGATACCCTTTAGATCATAATTGCTCTTTATTTCATAAATTACGGTTTCATATTTTTAATTTTATAATTTCTGCATGCCATCTTTACCAGATTGATGATCTATAATCCGCTAATCTGATGATCTATAATCCGCTAATCTGGAATCGCCGAAGTGCCGACGGGTCCGGATTAAAGACTTTTGACTGTATATCATAAAATGAGGTGAAGAACAGATGCAGATTGGAAGCAAGGGCAATGCAAAGCTTAGGTTCAAGGGAGCTTATAAAACAGTTTTTAGAAACCAAATCCATATCTTAGAGGTCTCATTAAAATTAATTTCATTAAATGACTGAAAATGCTAAATACTTCTGAAAATTAGTATTTAGCACGTTCAGTCAGGTGCTAGCTACACAGCTTTAACATGAACTCCTTAAATGCTCAGAGGTATAGAGAGATCTTAAAGCTATATGTGCAGTTTTTCAGGAGTACAAATGCAGGAGATTCTATCTCCTCCTTTTTTTATGAATAACAGCATTTGTCTACACAGAGCTCATTTTGTGAATGAACAATTCAGAGTGAGGCTATTAGACAGATGGACTGGTTAGCTGATCTATATCCAGATCCAGATTAGATATCCAGATCTGAATCCGACTGATTATAACTCAGAAGCATTTGTCAGGAGAATGATCTAAGAGCAAAGAACTGGTTTGGTACAAAATTGAATGCAGCTGCCACTGGGACACATTAATTGTCTTGCCCCAGTGGTCTCAAAGCAATATAATAACTTACTGCATGATTCCACTGTCTGTTAGAAGTGACAAAACCTCTTATTAGCCTCATTTTAGCTTAAAAGCTCATTTATCGTCTTTCAGAACCAGTTTTGGGCATTCTTACCTTCAGCACCATTACTTATTCACAAAACTTACTAGCAGTACGCTACACTACAGTTTTATGAGCTGGTACAGATTCATCTCCCTCCCCCCCACTGAGACATAAAGAAATCCAAACCAAGAAAAGCAAATACTTTGCTGTATCTGCCCTGCCATCCATGTATAAGAAATCTGAAAATAAATTTATAGTTTCAGAAATCCTTTTGAAGGACTGTCAACAAGAACAAATCAGCCAGCATGATGACTTCCATTCTAAGGAGCAAATGCCAGTTAAGAGCTAAGCGAACAAGAACAGCTGGCTATTGACAAATTCACAAAACTTACTAGCCTTTCTCCCCCCCCCAAAAGGGGGGGAATTAACACTTTTTGTCATTTGTTAATGTTTCAAACACTGGGGGGGGGATAATTTATAGGAAATTTTTATATTTCAGTTTTTCCGACTTCAACCCTTTTCATATAAAATGATTCTAAATTGACATAATCTGCCAATGGATATGGATAACAAACATTTTTTGAATTACATTCATTTTAGAATTGAAATCGCTTATTTTTGCAGTAAAATATATATTCACTTTAATAAAATGGAACAACAAAAAAGTTTTAATTTAAAAAGTACAAACATTACTTTCAGATCCAGTAATTTAATGTTGTTTTTTACCATTATTTCTATTAAGAATTTCGTGCAAGCAAAACTCAATTAAAATAGGTTTTACCGCACAGTTTTGGCAAAAATTATTAATAATCCTAAAACAAGATTAGAAATTTCAAAATTTTTCTTAAAATCATGCACCTTTGCAATTTCACTTACACAACAGATTTTTATAATAATGCTTATCAAAAGGTGACAATCATTCAGTAATACTTTAACTAAACAAATGAAGAATTTCAAACGAATAGTAAATTTTGTTTACATCGCACCATCTAATGTTTAAAAGCAACATGAAGGAATATTATTTCTTAAAATTCCTTACTGTGTCTGATTTTATTAATATATATAAAACAAACTGAAAATAAAAATAAAGGACATTATTTTATCACAGGAAATGAACAGAATTTCAAAAAACAAACTTCCATTTCATAAGTTGAAAACTTCATGTTGTGTACAGAAAAGCATAGATTAGTTCATGAAAATATCTCAGCTTTGAAGGATTAAGACATTATAATACATATTGACAAAAAGTTTAACAAAAAATATTTGCAATATATTTTCCAAAATAACTACAGAAAAAATACTGGTTAAAAAATTCAAAAACTGTTAAAAGAAAATACAGTTAATTTTTTTATATCAAATATCATAAAAGAGCTTTAAAAGCACTGAGTAATTCATACAAATGTAAATCAATCTATATAGAAAGTTGTACTGCTATTAGTTATCCCCGACAAAAAAAAGTCAGCAATAGTCATATCAAATGTTGTTATAAAACAATCAGAATGACATCACTTATTAATAATAATATTAGTTAATAATGCATAATTAAAATATTTAATATTATAAAAGACTAAGATTGCAAATTTATGAAAGTCACCCATTAAACTTCGAGCACACGCATATGCGCAAAATTTATCACAAATTCAGTTTTTAATTCACATTTTTCGCATATCGAAGCTGAGATGGCTCAAGGTCATTTCTATTCCTCCTTTCTACCCTTCCGCACATCATAGAATGTGCTAACAGGAAGACATTTGACTTTTTTTTTTAAACTGGGCTTTTGTGCGTGGCAGCTTTTTCATAAAAGTTACGACACGTACCTAGTCGTGTTTTAAAATTGGAAAAATATTTTTTTCTCAAATATTTTGTAATTTTGTGATATTAACTGCTGTGTATTTTAATTTGAATACATTTGGCTCTGTAAATTTTATATCGGTTTTCATGGCAAAAAAAATATGTGCAACCAGTTGATTTTGCTCGGATTCTTCAAGAATTATCTGATGAAGAAAAGGAAGACAAGGAAACCTTTGGATAGGAGAACAATAGCGATTTCCATTCCTTATTTTCTTTTATTTCTATTTTTTAGAAATAAATAAAAACATTACTTTTTTTCCTACAAAGGTGTTTTCCTTTTTTATTGCCTGTACTTGTCTTTGATGAATATTAAAATTATGTAAATATGTGTATTTAATTATGGCAAAGCTCACTAGGGCTATCTGCCTAAGGGGAGGGATGCCTTCGTGGAGGACTTTCTAAGGGAAACTGGCTCGTATACACGTTACACATGGGGAAAACCACGAAAACACCCATGCAGCCAGCTCGTTCGTGGGATTCGAACCTTGGACCGAACTACCAGTGTTCAGTGACTTTACCGCTCGGCCGCTGGTGGGCGAATATTAAAATTAGCTTCGATTTTAAAATATAATTATTAAATAATAAATAAAAAATTTTCTATAATGAAATATATCATTGCATTTCCATCTTACTAACGTAAGAACTTACAAATAATTTACTTATATTTGAATGTGATATCATTCGTATTTTGCAATAATAAGATTAATATTTTATTTCTTAACAAATTTATTATCAATATTCACTTATTTCTGTCGTTTTTTGTGCCCAAAACAGTAAAATAACGGATCTCGTAAAAAATAGGATGCACGCGTGCTCACGTAAAAATTGCCAAGCGTGCGTGTTGGAAGGTTAAAAAATACACATCCACAAAATATAAATTTCAAATATATATATATATATATATATATATAAAACTAACCTCAGGATAACTCCAGTCAGGGGAATAATCAGTGATGTTTGCAGTTCCTTCTCTGTAATCCATCGCTGAAGGTTTGCCAGCAAAGGAAGCAGTACTGATAGGTGTTGAGGAGCTGCTGCTGGATAAGCCACTGCTTGGAGCAAGGTCTGGGTTCAGGTCATCAAGATTAGGAAGATCACTCAATATATCAAATGTATCCATATTAAAGACTTCTTCATCAGGTGTTGAAATGTCATTGTCGATAAAGTCCATAGGATTTAAATCCACTATCACATTATCTGATGGATGAGGAGGTTCTAATTTCACAGAGATTTGAGAGCTGGTTGAATCTGGAACAATGTACTTGGGCGGAGGAGGCATGTTGGCTAGTAGAGTACGTTGGATATCATCATGTGACATGGCTAAATTGTCTTCAAAGAGATTCAAAGGTAAGTCTTTTGTCTCTGAAGACAGCTCGTCCATGACACTACATAAATCAGGGTCCTTGCTTGTTGGAACATTTGAAAAATTAACATCTCTTTTCAGAGCACATTCCAAACCTTCTTCAAGTTCAGCTTTAACAGTTGGTGACTGCTTTTTGATGGGCTTTGTTGATGAGTTAGAACCATCCGATGTATCCATTGCACTATGCAAAGTGTGAGTAGTTATATTTCTGACAGCTGTTGCAGCAGTTGTATCTTGTCCACACAAAAAAGTGACAGGTGTCACTGAAGCTGAAGTCAGACCAACACCTGATGCTGCTGCTGCACTGTTTAAAATGAGAAGGCCTCCTCCACCTTGCAGTTGTGATAAATTTAAAATAAGAGATGTAGCAGCTGTTGCAGAACCATTTCCAGACCCATGATTGCCTGCAGTTATGGCAACTTCATGTTTTCCATCCTGAAGGATTGGACGACATGGAGCCAGTATCACACTCCCAGGTCGTGGAGTAACACCAGAGACAGCAACAGTTGCAGATACTGTGGCTCTTTTGGTTGGGGCTTCTTCAGATTTGGCAGATGTTGTTGGTGTTGTCAAAACCGTTGTAGCTGTGGATGAGACTTGAGTTGTTGTGGTTGATGATAAGGTTGAAGAGTTTGCAGCAGCTGTGCTCACTGCAGCTAATACGCCTCGGGAATGGGTTTTAGGAGATATGATTCTGTGAAAGGTATGAGTGCATTTTTTATCAGTTGTTGAAGTATTTCCCTTGGTAGCATTGTCGCAAGCACATTCATGTGTTCGTGCATTGGACTTGGCACGCTGTTTCTCCATCAACTGTTGCACTATTGCCTCTACAGTCTCTGCAGTCTATAAATATTAAGAAATGAAATGTGCAAAAATTAATTAAATTAATAATAAAATCATAAGAATAAAGGGATATAAAATAAGACAAACTTACTGAGATCTCCAACTCATTGTTCAGATCAGGTTCATTCTCACTGTAAACTGCAAAATGAAAAATACTTATATTTTTCAGTTCCCTCACTTTTATATTTATAATTTATAAATGTAACTAAAAAATAAATAAATAAAATCTGAACGGGTTCAGATTTTAACAGTCTCCCAAAAGGGTTAGTTAAGGCTTTTTTATGCTCTTGCTGAGCTCACCAGTGTATCATTTTGTTATTGCTACCCATGCTATTGCTAACTCATTTTTTTTTTTTTGTCTTTTTTGCTCTATAATTAAGCATAATTTTCTTAGCACTTACATCGCATACAATTCAACAGTAAAATTAGAAGAATTTTAAAAGCAACATAGGTTTAGAATTGCCAAGGCAGTTTTAAGTGTTGGCATAAATATTTTTCTATTTGTTTCAACCTCTTCTCAGCTCACCATATCAATGTTCAATTTTCTTAGTAAGATGGTTTGCAAAACCGATTTTTTTTTTGTCTCTTTATTATCTACGTTTTTGTGTGTTAACTTAATTAATTAAATATCATGTTCTTCACACATATGCCCACATAAAATTCAAGAGCATAATCAAATATTTAAAACCAGCATATCCTTGGAATTCCTGATACAGTGTTAGGGATTGACACTCTTTTTTCAATATTTGCTATATTATTTCTTTGAAAACTAACCACTCGAGCATCCAAAATAGCCACCTAAAAGAGTTATGATTCAAACAAGCATATAGTGCTTTTAATGAGTCAAGCTAGTAAAATTTCCTAAAAATATTTAATATTCTTAATTAGATATATTATGGATTAAATGCATTTTTATTTAAATCAGTTGGATTAAAATGCTAAAAAAGAAAGAAAAAAAACTCATTTACTGCTTTTCATTAATTTTGGCTTGCATTCGGTAAAAGGAACTTTAAATTTGAAAGTTTAATATCTTATACTTCAGTGAGTGGCAACATGCTGATGCACGGAGATAACAAGTATTCTATTTGAAGCAGGGTAATACACTGCTTTCAAATAACCAAATTCGTGAATTAAAATTGAAAGGTCTTACAATGAATTTTACATTTTACTGAATTGGCAAACAATCTGGCACATTGCAGATAAAAATGTTTTATTTCAAACAGTGTTGCCACTTATTGCTCTCAAATCACCAAATTCGTGAAACAATTTGTTAAATTTGCAATATGAAATAAATCAAAAACAAATTCAAAATTCGGGTTTTAAGGTGCCCATATTCCGGAGAAGGCCAATGTGTACTAAAAATTCAGTGGCTCCAGATGACACTGTTTTTTCACAATGGAACAAACATACATACACACATACAGACTTGTCATTATTTAACATTTTCTTAAATACTATATTGCGATAAAACTTTGGTGGCAACATTTGAAAAGTGATTCGGACACAAAAGTGAGCTTTGAGACTAAAAATGAGAAAAAGGACAAAAAGGGAGATTCCAAACGGACAAAACTTCTATTACAAATAATTGTAAGAGCACAAGAGAAATTTACAAATAACATTTATCATTAACATTTATACAAGTCACATGCGTGCAAAGAAATATAGAAATTTCATATTTACTATAAAACTAAAATTTTCAGTCTTTGTCAACTGCATAAAAACAAAACTAAGTGGCTCCAGATGACACTGTTTTTTCACAATGGGACAAACATACATACACACATACAGACTTGTCATTATTTAACATTTTCTTAAATACTATATTGCGATAAAACTTTGGTGGCAACATTTGAAAAGTGATTCGGACACAAAAGTGAGCTTTGAGACTAAAAATGAGAAAAAGGACAAAAAGGGAGATTCCAAACGGACAAAACTTCTATTACAAATAATTGTAAGAGCACAAGAGAAATTTACAAATAACATTTATCATTAACATTTATACAAGTCACATGCGTGCAAAGAAATATAGAAATTTCATATTTACTATCAAACTAAAATTTTCAGTCTTTGTCAACTGCATAAAAACAAAACTAATACTTCTGTTACATTGTATCTACAATAGCATTTTGTAATGCCTTAACAAGCAAAATGCTGGCAAAAATTACATTCTGTCCTGGTAATAATTGTTCCTATCAAGTTCAATTTTTGAATAGGTTTTTCATGTTTAGATTAAAATACTTCTGATTTATGGGCAAAGAAAATGTAAATCTAAGTTTATTGATAAAAAAGCACTTACTGGTTCAAAAAATACTTTTTTTCTTTTGGCTGGGAAATTAACATACCCCTTGTGGATGCTCAGTACTGAACAGGAAAAGTATATAATCTCAATTTAGAAGCCAAGAAGTGCACGAAAACTGCGTATCTTCCCAATGTGCCCATCCAGTGTGTATGTTGTTCTGGTTATTGATGTGGCAAGCGCTGTGATTCGTCCCAGCATGGTGTGGCAATGTGATGCATGGAATCCTGACACGGAATATAGCTATCAAAGACTAGAATAAGTGTAGGAATCTAGCAGAGTACCCTGGACAACATTTATATGAAGTACTGCATGGAACTGCAGACATGTACCTGCTGACATACCAGTCAAGATAATCACCTGTTATTCATCATATATTTCTCCTCACATGTCATAGGTTGACATATACTGTTCATCTGTTTTGTAAAGCTCAATTAAGACATTCATTAAAATCGATGTTTTACTTACAGTAATTATGCTACTTTAGTAAGTAACCATGTTTTACACTATCCAAATACTCTCAACATAACCAAAAATCAAACAACAAACATTTTCAAAAATGAAAAAGATTTGTATGATTGCTTCCTTTCTTCCTCCCTTAGTGGCATGATATCCCAGGGTAGGCCCTGGCTTTCTCAAGAATTTTCTTCCAGGCCTCACTTTTCTTGGATATAGTCTTCCAGTTAATCACTCTTAAAGAGATGAGGTCCCCTTCGACGCAATCGACCCATCTGAGGTTGGGTCAGCCCCTAGTTCTTGTTCCAGTTGTCTTGGCCAGGAATATTTTCTGTGTTGTGCGCTCCCTGTTCATTCTAATAATGTGGCGAGCCCATTTAATCTTTTGAATTTTTATGTATTTCCCGATGTCGGGTTCTTTGTAGATATGGTAAAGTTCTAAATTTGAGCATCTGTGCCAAACACCATCAACTTGCATTCCTCCAAAAATAGCTCTTAGTATCTGCCACTCAAAGATATCAAGGGCATTTTAATCTTTTTGTGTCACTGTCAAGGTTTCTGAAGAGTATGCGAGTATAGGTCTGATTAGACATTTGTAAATTAATCACTTTGTTTTTCTTTTAATTAAATCTGATTTTAAATATTTCTTTAATCCATGCAAGCATCTATTGGCATTAATTCTCCTCTGTACTTCAGGTGTGATGTTGTTATTAATGTTAATCTCAGAGCCCAGATATATAAAGCTATCAACTTTCTCAAATTTATAAGTACCTATTTGCAGGTGAGTAGCAGAGTCTGTTAACCTTGTGCATTGCAAGTATTAAGTTTTTTCCTGGTTCGTAGTAAGGTGCATTTTACCTGCCTTTCTTTTTGGGGACAGAAATGCCTGTTTCAGATCAGAAGGTGTTCTTGCAGTGATGTCTATATCATCAGCAAATGCAAAGATTTGCACAGATTTGTAGAATATGTTTCCTCTAGTGTTGATGTTTGAATCACGAATAATTTTTCCTAATGCTATGTTGAAGAGTAAGAATGCCAGCATGTCACCCTGCCTAACCCCATTTTTAATTTCCATTGCTTCGGAAAAATCACCCCGGATTTTAACTCTTTGCATGGTTTTACTCAGCGTAAGAACAGTGAGTCTTACAAGCTTGTCAGGGATATTAAATTCTTACATAGCTTCAATGAGTAATTTTCTATTTATGTTATTATAGGCATTTTTGAAATCCACGAAGAGATGGTACGTTCCGATTCCAAATTCTTTGGTTTTTGTTTCTAGTATCTGTTGAATGTTAAATATTTGGTCAATTGTGGATCTCCCTCTCCTGAATCCGCATTGATAATATCCGATAACATTTTCCATGAATGGGCAAAGTCTACTAAACATAATGTTTGAAAAAATTTTATAAGCAGTACACAATAAACTAATACCTCTGTAATTAGAGAATTCAAGAATGTCTCTTTTTTATGTATGAGACAGACTGAGTTAAGTTTCCAATCCTCTGGAAGTGTTTCCTTGTCCCACACTGATAAAATAATATAGTGTAGTGTTTTTATCCCATCTGGTCCCAAGTTTTTGATTAGTTCTGGCAATATTAAGTCTGGGCCAGGAGCCTTGTTATTTTAAAGTTTTTTTTATTCCTTCTTTAACTCCAATTAATGAAGCAGGTGTAATACTATCTTGATTAATGTCAGATGAATTAAATTCTTCAGTCTGCAAGCACTCTGCATAAAGTAAATCAATAAAGTACTCCTCCCACCTCTGAAGAATTTTTATTTTATTACTCAGTATATCTTCATCTCTGTTTCTGCAAAGATTGGTTATAGGTTTAAACTCTCGTTGTCCAAGGTTTATCTCATGAAAGAAAGCTCTGCTCTCATTTGACCCTCTAAGATACTCAATATCTTTAAACAGACCTTCGTAAAATATTTTTTCTTAATCCTATGGATTTTTCTTTCCTTTCTTTAGGCAGCATTATATTCTTTCATTGATGTTCTAGAATGTTTTTTACTAAGCATCTCTTTATATGCATCATTTTTTCTTTGAGTCACAATATGACAGTCTGCATCAAACCAGTCCTTTTACTAGAATTTAATTTTTTCCTACTACAATAGTACCTGTGTCCAAAAGAGCTTCTTTAAGAACAGCCCATTTTCCATCTATGTTATCAATATTCTCTATCTTCGAGGTTTTTTGCTAGTTGAGTCTGGAAATCATGCCTAACTAAACTACTTTTTAAAAGTTCACAGTCAAAGCTTTTAATTCGTTGGCCATGATGTTTACATGCATTAGATAATTAGATATTCTGGCCTTAATCTTCCCATTACCATATAAAGATCTGTGTCAAAGTTAGCTCCACGATAGGTTCTAATACCTTGTATATCT